TGGCGCGATTTATATATGACGCAGAAAATCGAAGGCGGCATTAAATAGCTGAAAACTGCGTGTATATATCAAGAAGAATTACTTGCAAATGAATTACATAATTTGGCGTCAGATGTTACTTCGTTCATAACGGTGTCAACGTAGTATGCTGATGATCACGTTAATTAAAGTCAGATAAGCAAAGCGAGGGAAACCTGTAAACAAGGAAAACAACAGGCCAGCAAGTATAAATATAAGACTATTTCCATGTGAACGAAGAGCCATATGAACTCAGTGCTTTAAAAAAAGGCCAAAAATATCTCCGTGGGGGTAATTATTGTTAGGGAATTATTTTTCGTAGCGACTTTTGGACAGAGAGCCGACTTTTCACGTTTCGGTTTTTAATATATTCGCTATTTAGGAAACAGCTCCGTCCTAACAGATGCTGCAGTTGGATAGCGCATTCGCCTGAGTCTGAGCGTTTTTTAGATTGATATCCACCAATGTTTTGTCTGCCTGCAGAAAAAGTTAGTTTATGGGAAATAAATAGTGAAGAGGACATATGCTGGGAGGCACCTAGTAATAGTTACAGTCAGAGGTGCGTGACAATAAAAGCTGTACTATAACAAAAAATCGAACTAGACGAGTAATAATATAAAACAGAATAAGCTTGGCTGTTTTTTTCAACGTAACCGTATACGAAAGTATTTGTAGAAAATAGAAACTGTGAATTGCAATTTTAGTTAGTACAAGCCCTTATTCTTCCGCACTTACTGCACACTCAGGATCTTGTAGAACGCAGAGCAAGATTACAAATTTATCCAACAACGGGAAGGTATCTACGGTAGAATTTTTCGATCGTGCAAACAATTTATTCAAATAGGATTTAACTGCGCATGCATGATGAATAGCCGCCATTACTCAGGATGTTTTACCAACACAGGCAGGGAGAATCGCAGAGATTTTGTAGGAGCGAAGGCGCTTAATTCCAGAATTAGTGGTGCTTATTAGTTTGCCTCTACTGTGCTCCAAAAGTGCTTATTTATGCTTACATAGACGACCTTGTTTTTTGTTGAATATCGCCGGAGAAACAAGCTTGCTTGCACAAAGTTATGCACGAGATAATAGACCAGAATATTTGAAACGCTCATATGCAGGATTAGGAAGTTTAAGCCCCACTGGAGTTCTTTTTCAACGACTTCAACTTTCACGAGTCATGATGTCCATAGACGATCGGTTCACTACATGGATTTCGATGGCAACATTTATGAAAGCTTGTTTGCGGTTGGTTATTAAAATGCACAAAGACTGGATGAGGGCAGTAACAAATGCGTCCGTGAGCGATGAAATTCCGACCAACTATTGAAGTAAACAATTCATGTCATTAGTGCACTCCTACCAACAGAAATCGTCTCATATAAATGGAATGAAAAATAATTGAGAACCTTTTAAACGGGGTGCATATTACAATGGCGTGTGTATCAAATGTAAATCAGTTAAATATTCAACTGCTTATGCAATTGTGCCTGTTTCAATTTGTTTCGTTTGCGGATACATGTGCCGTATCAAACAAAAAGCCTTCCGGGGAGGTCAAAGAAACAGGTAAATAATTTGCCTACTATTTAGTATAACAAATGAATAAACTTAAGCTGCAATTAGTGATAGGTCCCACAAAACGTTAACGTAAATTAAAAAATGTTTTTCAAACAAAAACTACCTGGGGAGGACAGGACGTTCAGAAAAGTAACAGGTTAAAAAGTCGTCTTCTGTTTATTATTCTGCTATGTAACTATTAAGAAAAACATTACCACCACACCTTAATCACTGGGGCTACCGGTAGTGACTGACCTCACGAAACCCTAACTTAAATTCTGACATTAGGAAGAATTATTTACCATTAGTAAGGATTATCTAATTGACTGTGTAATTGTAATTGGTATAGATAATGTATTTAATTTATTTCAATCACTCCAAAAAGCCAGCTTTTCAACGCACGTATTCTCAAGCACGATCGGGAACTGTTTATACTGCTTAATTATTTTTAATTTCAACATTAATACAAGCAAACTTCATGAAACAATACAGAAAAAATAATTCTGGGCACTTTTTCATTGAATTTCCGTCGTTTTAAAAATGAACACTCAGAAAGACGGGACTTTATTGCGGACATCCACAATATTTCCATTCATCAGTCAGCTTCAGGGTGTGAAAAATTGCCTAGGTGTCATTGTTTAACGTTATCAATGCGTATACTTCACCTCCGAAATTTATTTTCATAACAAACGGGTTTCCTTTATTTTGGCCCACTTTTAATATCGATTTATCAACAGTTGTATTAGTCAAATAAAGCAACTTCTGTCCACTTTTTATTTGTAGTTTTTATGCGACGAGGTAATAATTGTGACGTGCATTTTTTAGATGAAATCCTACTTTGTCCACACACTTACTTCAAGCCAAATGTGAGCAAAGATGTAGAATATTTAATGAAACGTGTACCCCATCTGATGTATAACGAAGCACGTGTCGGCCATTCGGGGACATATTTCAGGATGGACTTACACCTTGGACCACAAGTTTCGTCTTGCCTTCGTCTGAAAGGCAGCCTTACAAATCAATTGATCTTATTCGTTTGCACACTTAACTTCCCTCTGATCACTCTGACTTTTTCTAAGATGGTCCGTTATTTCAGGATAGATTTGTCATATCTGTCAATTTGAATGCTTAGTGAAGTTTCCATCCTTTTTTCAGAAACTGACCACTACAAATAACAAACATCATGTGCTAAGTAAACTCGGATTCTCATGCAACCTCTCTGATGTCGGTGCAACTGCAATCGCAAGATCAGGAGACATTTCCTTCTACACTGCAATTACCGAAGTAAAACAACTCACATTCCCGCAGATGCAGAAGCACTTTCTGGAGAATGTGTCGTGTTCGAAACCAATACCCAGTCTGTCGTGGCTCGACCGAACAACTGCTGAAATTAAAAACGCTACCAACCTGGCATTTGCGAAAATACCGCGTCCAAAATGCATATATTAGGTGTGCTTTAAGGCAAGGTTCGACGTTACACAGACGCCTGAGTATTAATATCCATAGGATGACGAAAAAAACATGATATTTTGGTGAAAGTAACATTCAAAATTAAAATGCGGTTTTCGGGGTTGCTTAAAAGATTGTTGTTTCATTATTCAAGATATGTATTTATATGGCCGGTTGCAAATTTAGGCTATAAAACGGAACTGCAAATGACCTTTTGATATTTTCACTCTAAGCGGCCATTGGTGTAAAATTAAAAATAAAATAATTTTTTAGAGAACATTGCCTATCAGGAAATGGATCGTGATGAATGCCGTAATCTTCTGCACACCAGAGCAAAGTAGTGTGCACGATGTGACAAAAATGCCCTTAAATTCAGCCCACGTACTAAATTCTTATCATAACTGACCGTCAATTCAGCCGAGACAGAATGTCCGTAAGGCTCGCTTTCAGGCCGCGGATACTGACAGACTTCCCACAGAATGAATTGTCTAAGTAGTCATTGGAACCTGTCAAAACGATGCACATTAGCTTTTGGCAAATTGCCCGTTCTCGGGCCTCAGCAGGCAAGACACCGTCTCGCGAAGCATGTTGTAAATAGTGCATTGTTAAAGCTTATTTAGGGCACGATTGCCCAAGTGCTGATAGCCATATGTTACCCATGCTTTTCTATATTTGCGTTCTAAACATATGAATATTTGACACTTTCCGTGGTGAATAGGGCTGGCCTTATGGTTGGTCTAACCTAAG